ACTTCTCGACACTGTCCATCTCTATAGGTTGAACCTTGTTGAGCTAGATAACCTAAAAAGCACAGTAAAAGCATTTCAGGTTCAAAGTCTTATTTCACAAAACACTTTTTAATACTGACAACCAAACCAAGCATAGCACTTCAGACTAAGCCATTTTTGAAGGCTGCAGCAGCAGAGAGCAAAACTCTCAAAGGACACAAATCTGTTGCCTGTTATTTCAGAAAAAAAATGAAAGGTGGCTTTTCATACGTAACTTATGAGTCTGACATATAGCTGCATTAATTATATGGCTGGTTTCTGTGGGCATCCATCACCTAGAATATCTTTGAAGATCTGACTCCAGCTTCATTTCACTCAAGTCTTCATCCCTGCCAGTAATCACATTGGCCCCAGATGCGTCATTCAAAGCTGATCGCTCCCCAGAGAATCCTTTCTTTCTCAGCTTCACAGAGAAGAAACTACACCACTGAATGGATGTTTTAAATCACGGCGAAAACCATAAGCACAAAAGCTTGCAAAACTGGGATTGGCGTGCTTATTGCACTACCCTCCCAAATGTGTGACAACATCCATTTGAAATAATTTGTAGCATTTTCCTCATTATTTGGCTTCTGATGCTGAGCTGGAAGATCATACCTGTTCAGGACAGATGCCTACTAGCAGGGCAGCAAGGGTGAACAGCTGGAAGAAAAATGTGCTTTAATTATTTCAGAAGCAAAAACATAATATGCAAAACTACCCCAACATCTTTATTTTAGAGCAACAGTTTTATCGAAAATAACTTCACTCCACGCCTTTCAAATTCCACAATCTAGGCAGCTGCTTATACCATCAGATAGATGAGCAAAACATATTAAAATCTAACAGAAATAATTGCTCCCTGGTGTTTATTGGTAATTCCGAGGTGTCTCTAAATATACCCCTTCAAAGGTGGCTAAAGCAGATGGTGTTTTTCTTTTACATTTAGGAACATCACGGTATTCGTTTCTCTGTGTTAACTTCAGCTGCACTTCAATTCCAAATTTCAAAAATTTGGAGTCAAAGGCAGGGCAATATTAATCCTTTTTCCTTGGCGCTATACTGGAGCATGTGGATAACTCACATCCCAAAGTACCATAAAACACTCAGAGAAGAAAAAGGCACGAGTGCTCCGGGGCAAAGCGGTACAAGCTGCAAGTTCAGCGGTGCTGAACAGCCTGGCGCAGCCCTGGCTCGTAAAGCAGTACCACAAAGAAAACCAGTTTGAGTCCAAAGCCACTCTAGCAAGACTTACTGTCTCAGAAGCAACATTAGACGAAAGTGGTTCAGGTCAGTGGCAGCTCAGCAATTTCTGCAGTGTGCTGATGTAGCTAAAGCCTTCAAGCTTCTGTTCCAAAAGCAGCACAAAGGCTCGGGCCATGCGTGAGGACTAGGTGCTTACCTGGAAGCGGGCCATTCTCCGACAGTTCTCTGCACCAACTGCTACATTTGCAAATGGCACCGGTTCTTAAAAATTTCCCTAAAGTGTCCAGTTGCTCCCACTTATCATCCAGTTGCAGAGTCTTAATCCTACAGACCAAGCACTCACTTCAAAGCTTGTTAAAACCATAATGGGAATTCTTACGCACGGCCATTTCTAAACAGTGCCAATCCCAAAGGTGTCAAAAAAGTCATCAGGCAGTCCTCACACGAGATTTGCATATAACAAAGTTGTACATTTCAGTTTGACTTTTTCTGACCTTTTTAGGCCCATGCTACTTTCCTTCCCATGTACTGGGCTTTGGCCATTCCCTAAAGATTTCTCAGTCTAGTCCTCTCCTGGCCCTGAATTCTGCCCCCAGAGTAGACACTAGCCTATTTCCTTCAGGCTCATCATTCCTTCTCCTCCGATTAAAATTTAGAAGAAGGGACAGGACACAGAGCAGACTAACAGTACCACCCTATTGCTTGTAGGAACATCTCCATATTGCTCCACCTCCTCCTCAGGAAAATGACATCAGCTTTCAATAGCTGAAGATGGGAAGATGACAGGAGGCACCCCTTTGGCCACACTCCATTAGGGCATAAGTACGAAAGACAGTCGTCAACGGGATTGCTCCCATCCCAATCCAGAAAGGAAGGCAATTTGCAAGAAAGTAAGAACACCCATACCATGGCAAGTTTCCTTCCAGGCCCAGCCAAACTCACAATGCTCACCTGCAAATCGGAGGAAGACAACAGAAAATTGCTCTGTTTCTCTCAGATTCACTACAGCTGCAATTAAATCACTTGAAAGAAATACTGAAACTTGTATTTGCAATCACAATCCCAGTATGTTAATTGTTCCGAGTAAAGATTTTATTTCAAAGAACATTCCACTACACCTTATCTTTGTAGTCTGCCAACACAGCTGAAATATAGCAGTAATAGGCAACTTGAACAACGAAAAAATCATAGTTAGTCCACAATTAAGTCATACAGCAACAGCCCTTTCCCAGCTCAGGCTCAGTGTAAGATCCGGCATGGTTTGCCTCAGGAGCAGACTTTTCCTTGGCTTTTTAAAAATGGTGCTCAAGTAAGCATGAAAAAGCTCAGGACAAATCACCCCCTTCAGAAATTCCAAGGCTGGGTCGCAGGAGTTTGCTGCAATGCAGAACACAGACTTTATTCCTGAAGAGAAAAAAAAGAAAAATCAATAAAACCCGATTTTACATCAGGAGAAATATTTAAGAAATTGAAACTTACCTTAATCCTAACCGCTGGAAAGTTCAATTTACAAAATCCTGCTCAACATGATTTGGTAAGAACAGAGAGCCCGTTCTAGACAGAATAAAAACTTGACAGTTTGATGCTTCTTAAGCCTATTTGTTTAATTGTCTAACACTGATGATGGGCTTCTATGTAAAACTACACCGGCTGTGTGTGAAATACTCTTTCCTGGGTAAAGCTAAAGTGGCTAGGCACCACTTAGTATGTACGCTGTTTCAGGAGAATGGCATTCAATACAGTGGGTATTCACTACTTCTCACCTGTTTTCATCTGGAGAAACGGGGCTTCACAGTCTCTTGGGTATCTTTGTCTAATGTTCAGACAGAATAAACCAACAATCCACACCCCATGACCATTCAGTAGATGTTTTCAGAAACAGAGGTAGGAACTGCTTCCTTTTTGATAAAACACCACAAAAACAGCTGATGTCTTGTGCTTGGTTTTGACTACAAGGTAACGTGAATTAGTTTAAACTTTGTTTGCTTGATGGGGAGTCTAGGACTCAAATCAGAGATCAGACTCAGCACTCAGCAAGGTTACAAACTGCTTACTGACTCTGAACTACTTTACATTCAGATCTATGGGACAACAGCCAATTTGCTCTTGAGAAGATGCCTGTATTTTTATTTTCTCCAGTTGATCTACAAACCCACAAAGAGTAAGTCATGAAAAGAATGGGAAGGAAAGTATAATGAAAGATGGTAGAGATATTTTCCACAGATTTCCTGAGTAAAGATATAAGGCATTGATTTTAAAAGCAGTTCAGCGTGGAGAATCATCAGAATTCAACAGGTTTCACAAACCAAAAAATGTGAACGTGTGATACGCTTTTATCTTTAGGTTTAAAGTAGTATGTAAATTCAACTACTAAAAGGCAAGACTACCCAATTGCTGACAAAGTATCGAGGATACCGTTTAAAATTTTGTCTAAACACTTCACAGGATATTTCTATTGCCAGTCCTTAGGAAACCAATTTTAGAATTCAGTATATAATCCTGCATCATAAAGAAACAGCATAAGCAAGATCAAACATTAGGAAGTATCTTAGTAAAAACAACTTTATTCATCTATATTTTAGGCAAATATGTGAATAGTCAGCAAAGCCTTTTTGCCATGACTGTAAACTTTTTATTTAAAAAAATTGTGTTAAAAACCAATACAGGAATTTCCATTAACGTTCTAAAAAAGTTTGTTCACATCTTGAAAGAAAATACATTAGCAACATCTCCCAGCAGAATTTATCTTTAAAAAAGTAAAACTCTAGGTGCAGAGCTTTTCTACAGTATAGTATCCTCTACATTTTAATTTATTCACAGGATTGAATATCATTCATCTCTATTGTCTCTAGAACATGATCAAGAGTTTATCTTAAATAGATGATATTCAATGATGTGTTACACATTGCCACAGGTACTAACATTATTAGAAGAGTGCACAACTGAATTTCACTAACAAAGCAAGACCTTTCCATATGCTGCATCATAACCCTTCCTAACCAATACAGTTAATTTAGCTATATGCCTTTAAAATCATGTACGTTTTCCAAGGAAAAATACTAAAAAATCCATGGTCCAAATTCTGCTCCCACTTATGTTCACAGGGTAACATAAGCACCATCAAGTTGTGGTTTACAGCCAAAAAGCATATAAAGAACCAGTGAGTTTAGGAGCATAAGGGAGAGAAGAACTTGACCCATGTCTGTAAACATTCACAAAAGTCTGCAGTCAAAAGTGCCGGATAGGCAGCCTATCCGCAGTACAATTATTTCATTCACAGAGGTGGGGAGGGGCAGGGAGAATGTTATGGAACATTATTTTAGAGGCAAATTAAAATACTTTTATGTACTTTGGAAAGACATATTCTTGGCTAGCTAAACCATACTCCAGTAAAACATAATCCACTTCTACCCAAATGCAGTACAGCATCATTTCCTAGCTCTCCTCTTCAGAGTCAGACGAAGGAGTACTCAGTTCAGCAGCAAGCCCATGACAAGATCTCAAAGCGTAAGAAAGCCCCCCCACCCCTCTGATCTAGCCTCCCCTTAACACACTGCTGATGATCACAGGAGATCCTCACACATACGAAGAAAACATCCGAAGAACTAAAAACTGACCTTGACCTATGCACACACAAGTGTGCACCTAGACGAAAGATCGTCTACAGCTCTAAGTATCTAGTTTCAGCCTAGATCTCATTCTATATTAACCACATATACCATACAAAATATAACAGAAGGGTAGGTGCTTATACACACTGCTAAGTATACTTGTTCTCCCCGTTCAGTTTGACAGCCAATTGTTCTATTTACATAAACATCTGTCCGAATGTTCCTGATCCTGTAAGACATCAAACATTCAACTCATAAGCTAAAAGGAGAGTCAAGGACGCTCAGCAATTCACAGGATCAGACCCTGAATCAATTCAATGCAATCATAAATCAGGTTTGACATCTCACACAGCCTCCTGGAATCATTTTACCCTCATGTTTTCCCCCTCTTCCCCCAATTCAGCCCATGCTCCCACTAACACGGAGACAGCCTTCAAAGTGAATGGGATCAGGCTCTGTCAAGCAACCTCTGCAGTCTTTAAAAATGTCTGGTATTTATTGCCATCCACTCTGGGGCAGACTTGTCTGCAATGAAAATGGTGTTCCTGGTGTTGACGGATAGTTAGCAAAACCTTCAGGCTGAGCTGTATAGTTCTCCAGAGCAGAAGCAGAATGTGCCTTCAAGGAAGAGAAGAAGTTAGGAAACAGCACTGATAAAAACAAAGAAACAAACAAAAGTCTAAATCAAGCACAATTTCAGGCACAATACCAGTCCTACTGAAGCCAAACCAAACAAAGTATAATCTGAAGTATGCAAAGAACAGAGATGAGCGATGCACATGTACGCAGAGGTTAAACTGCAGTGCAATGTACTGCTCTAAAATACTGGAGAATAAGGAAAGCAGTTGGATTAAGAGGAAAAATGAGGAAGCATTAATGACATTTACTTTCCAGGGGAGTATGCCACAGCTGATTTGGAAGGCAGAGCTTAATGAGGAGCTGTAGTATTTCACTGACTTTGAACTTTATCTTCATTGCTCAAGTAGCTAACCGTTAAATTTTAGTGACTGGAACTTGTAAACAAGAAAACTGACTTTTCCTCAATGCAATCTGTAACACAGATTTCTACAGAATAAATTCCTGTGCTGTGAAAGCAGCACGGCCTAGATAAATAATTTGCTTCTTCTGATGTATTTCCCCTGTCACTCAAAATATATTATTCTGCATATTGAACAGCACTTGGACACACGCTCCATTTCAAAAACTAATGTGTCACAGAAGAGAGAAAACATTAATTCAAGACACTCAACTGCCTCTTCCAGTATTTTGTAGAGAAGGACAAATTTCCTAACAGAATCCTTAACCTGTACAGAGGCCATTTTTAACAAAAGGCCAACTAAACATCTAAATACAAACTCTGATAATAGTTTCAGTTAACTCATGTAGGCTGATGACTGAAACTAGTTGTTTCACGGACAAGGGAGATAAAACTGCACATTACCTAAAGCCACCTCAAGCTTGTATTACAACTGTATTTGTGGGAACTATCAAGAGAAAGGCACAACCACAGCAGACACAAATTCAAGACAATCTGATTGTGTGTGCAGAGGCACATAACCCACAACAAATTGAGTTTCCACAGAAATCTGTAAGTATTAAAATGTCAGACTGGAACTGAGCACAAATTTTGCAACTACATGGTCAGCTCATTAGACTTAACACAGACTTAGCAAAAATTTCACTTGCACGTCTTTTCTTTTTTCTTTCACTCCATCCCATTTTACAAAGAGTTTTCAAAAACTGTTTAATCACACTCGTAATGTCCAGAAGCACTGCACATTGGCCTTGAGTAAGAAGTTAATTTGAGTTTTCTTTATCACCATCCTTGGAATCAGTTTTCAAACAGGATAGGGGTTTCAATAATTTACTGACTTAATCTAATCCCAAGAAGTTAACACACAAGTACACGCTCAAAAGGTTACCAGAAGCAAAACAGTATTAACAAATAGGTGTGTTACCTGTAGTAGTGCTGACTGTGCAGCCGCACTATGCTGCAATTCCTGCAAGGAAGACTGTGCGGCACTTTGGGGAAAGCCAGGGATACCAGGGAGAGATAAAAGACCAGGGAAAACTGCATTTCCTGGTGTCTGTAGTCCAGAAGTCAAGCTGAAAGAATGTCAAGATGCGGCTATTATTAGGAACATCTGCATCATGTTTCGTCCTATGTTTCTCTCTCTATAAGCTTATGTCTATATAAATCAGAAAAGCACCTCTTTTTCTAAACCTCATAAAAGCAAGAATTTCCAAACAGAAACCCAGTCTCTACCCACCTACAAATTATTCATGCACACACAAACCAAGACTTGTTTGGAGCACACCTAACAAGGGAACTCAGAAATTTCTGGGCTTCGGCTGTGCCTACAATTTGCACACAAAAAAAACTTTTACAGACAAAAGTTAATGCTGAGTACTTCCTTAAAACATAGGAACATCTAAGATATTGTCTGCTATTACCTGGATGTGTCAATGGATGCCCACGTGGAATCCATTCTTGTAAAAGCCTAGGAGGTGCCAAGTGTCCTCATCTGGGAAATAAGATCACTCAGCACCTCACCGGATTACTGTCGTAATGGGGACTACTGAGGACAACCTATTTAAGTAACAACTCTATCAGTTTCTAAAGACAAGTGGAAATCTGCTGGTGAACTAACTCTAAAAATCAACTGCAGTTACTGACTATGAGTGAAAATAATGTGACTACGGGTGAAAATAATGTCTACGCCTAAAGTACAATCAGTGCTTTGCTCAGGAGAAAAAAGAAACTGTTCTGATCTCCTTCAGAAACAGAAACATACCCAGCCTGTGCAACAAGTGCAGAGTTGAAGTTTGAGCTAAAGGCCGAGGCAAACCCTGGCAGGACCGGAGCCGGAGATGGGGCTGTGGCAGCTGCCGGCAACGGTGCAACTGCTGCTACTGCAGAAGATGCCTGGAGGCCAGGGAAAGAAGGGAGAGCAGGAGTGACAGAGGGTGTGTTAGAGACAGGAAAACCAGGGAAGGATGGGTTTGATGATCCCAGAGGTCCCTGGGCAACAGAAAAAAGGGAAGGGACGGCACTGGACAAGTTAAGCGAGAAGGGTGGAGCAGAGACTGTTGCTGAGGCGGCGAGTCCTGAGAGTACGGCGGCGGTGGAACTCACATGAGGGGCAGACACGGCTGAAGCGGTTGTAGACGGAGTAGCTAACAAAGACCCTGGGAGAGTGACGGGTGGCGTAAGTGCTGGATTACCAGTAAAAGCAAAGTTACTGGTTAGAGACGTAAAAGGAGGAAGTCCATTGAACACAGGGGCAATGGGAGCAGAGGAGCCATGTGGGGCGAGGGAAATGGAAGCCAGAGAACTGGAATTGTTTAGAGGAGCACTCAAAGAGGAGAGACCTGATAGCGCTGGATTCAGGGAACTGGGTAAACTGACTGGCACCGAAGCTGCTGAGGTGTATGCACGCCCGAGCGCGGACAGCCCTATAGTGCCATGGGAAGGGCCGGCCGAATGACAAGGACCTTTGAAGGCCGAGAGGGTAGGACTCATGGGTTCTGTTTTGACCAGAACTGGGATACTTGTGGCAGCTGGGGCTGATGAGAGCTGCTGATCAGGATTAGTAGGGCTTGTGCCATGTAAGAGGGAAGCTGATGAGCCACAGTTGACTGGCATAATCGACGGCGAAGTGGTTAAAGGTGACTGTGCAGGCAATGTTGGAGGAGTGGAACTAGAATTGGTGACAGATGGGGATGGAAGACCTGGAAAAATGGCCAGCCCGGGTGTGGAGGAACGCTGTGGAGTGGGGGTGGCTGATGGAGTGTAACACTTGTTGACAGAGGAAGTGGGAGGGTCAGGGCTTTGATTAGCAAGAGCAGATAAAGAAGCAAGCTCACTTGTCATAGCAGAAGGTAAAGCAGATGAATTGATTAATGAAGTGTCATTTGATGTCAGAAATCCCTTTAAGACAGACAAAATTGGGTTAGGCAAGCTAAGTGAACCAGGAATGGTAGTGGCAGGAGAATTAGCAATTGTAGATGGAACAGGACTAGAAATCCCTTGGGCGTTGGGAGGCAAGGACAAAGGGAGGCCAGCAAAAACGGATGACAATGGAGTGGGATTATTAGCGGAAGCAATTGAAGAGGTTGCAGAAAACGGGAGGCCAGCAAATGGTGCAGCAGCAGATGCGAAAGCTTCGCTAGGCGCAGGTGTGGCGCATGGTGTGGCAGAACCTTGTGGAGCGGGCGTAGCAGTGGGTATAGAAGCCAGCCCAGAAAAAACTGCAGGGATAGGGGTAGAGGTTGCACTGTGAACAGATGTGACAGGAACACCAGGCAATGAAAGGGATTTGATGACAGTAGGGGTTGGGGTGGATGGCTGAGACGTATGGATGGCAGAGGAGACCTGTCCTGGGAAAACAGGAAGGACAGGGGTAGACATGTTCATCCCAGAGATGAGTGGAGTTGCAGGTGCTAATGGATGGCTTATTGCCTTGACAGGTGATGGGGTAGGGACTGGAGTAGCAGCAGGTGTTGAAGGATTAGAACCATGAGGAGTAAAGAGCTGATTCGCTTGTGCAGAAAAAGCTGCAAAGAAATAAAACTGGTAAGAATATTTGAAACTGTCAGAAATGTTTGAAATCAACACAAACACATTTTATACAGCATTTCAAAATACGATACACAGGCAATAGCTAACATACAACGACTATATAAACAACGAACACTGGAGCCTATGAAAACAAAACAAAAAGGTACGTACAAACACATCACACAAGTTGTACATCATGTAGGCTACCACTCCTCTTTAAAACACTTTGTGACATCTGCTACCTCTTCATGATCTCATGCAAGACAGTTAAGATGCTCAAAAACACTCCACAAGAATGTCTACGTGATACAGGTAAACACCCTCCCTCTGGTCCCTAACATCTGGCAGTACCCAAACCAGACCTAATATTCCATCAGCATCAGGTCACCTGGGCTCCTCTGCATCCACTCTCACTGAAGGTCAGAATTTCCTTCAGAACCAGTTAATTCAATGTATCATTATTTCAGAGAAGTTTAGTCAACAACTGAAGAAAGCTGATTTCAGGTGCTGGTATTTTTCTTTCCTTCAAAATCAGGTCATTCTCTTCACTGTGTTTCCTTCAGATTTTGATTCTAAGAAGGTACACTTTTAAATTCATGTATCACACTACAGTATTAAACTAACATTGGCACTTGATTTTATTAACAAGTATTTCTGTAAGTCTTTAATCAGGTGTCTATAATCGAGGCAAGCACCTGCCACTAGGAGTATCAGCTTATATCGGCCCTACAAAGTAAGCCAAAGAAACATAAGTCAAGCTGGAGGAAAATGGGCAGGCACACTGCAAATGGCGATGTGGAGATTAATGGAAAGAAGCTGCATTTATGAACACTGGCATGTCAAGAGCCTTGATATGCCTCTATCCTGTGGAATATGAATGTGTTAATCATTCCTCTGAAACACCCCTTGTGCTTTATTTTACTTTTAAAATAATCTGTTCAACTTAAGCAAATCACTGATCCAACCAGTCAAACTCATGATCCATAACTCTGTAACAGCTGAATTTCTCTCTTGCCCAAATTCTACAGATACACTCACAAACCCCAAACCAGAATCTTTAAAATCTTGGACCTAAATTGATATGACAAACTCCTGTTTTATGTATCTTGAAACTCTAAAACTAAAAAGTTTGCAAACAATTTCCTTTTACATATTCTTTTCCAAAAACCTAGACCCAGATTGCTCAGCTCTGGATTCTGTTCTTTCCTCATCCTGTTCCCAGGTTAAGACTCTCCTAAAGATCACACTTGTTAACCCTGACAGCCAAGACAATCGCCAGAGAAATATAGCTGCAATAGAACCCAGAGCTGTTACTGAATTTCTCCTCATAAGAGAAGATTTTATTCCTTACACTGTATTCATTTAGCTGTATAAACTGCCTTGTAAATATATGTACACTTAAAGGGGTGTATATGAATAAAGTGATTCTTTGAAACAGCAACATTTCTGTAGAACCATCCGTGCGCATAGAAGAGAAAAGACAAACATAACTTTTTTTTTTCCGCCCCTATAAATATTTACAGGAGCTAAGCTTATCAGGGTCATTTTATCTGTTTTGGGTATTTGCTAATATGCCTGACTCAACAGTCAGTAGATTCTCAGTTTCTATTTGTCAAACCTAACAAGGTGTTATTCAAGCCTTTGTGTAAGTAGTTTGTAAGTTCAATTATTATAATTTGTACTGAGTGTACAAAGTACCACACAGAGACAAAAAAATAAATAAAATGCACAAGTCTTTTCTGCAAAAAGAATTGGATTTTAAAGGGTAAGACAAAAGCGCAGGTAGACAAAGCTGTATGTAACAGTCTGGGATAAGACATTCTACACATGGATTTCAACAAACTATGGATAAAGAATGTGTCTCTCTTGTACTCCTAGCTTCCCACTGCAACTAATACATGAAATTAAAATGTGAATGAGTTTTCAAATAGACACCCAGAGTTACAAAAACCACGATTATTGAACTGTTTCAGTGCACTACATTGCCAAGCATATTCTGATTTACTTTTTTACATGACTTCTCACATACTTATATGCTGAAGAATATAAAACTAATAAACTAACACAAAAGGACGAATTTTAACGTTTCAACGCTTCTAAGTGCCAAACGGCAGAGATGAATTTTTTTTCAACTCTCAAGGGATCCTATTCGAACAGTAATTAAATACTTAGAGGCTTATGAAAAACCCACTGAACAAATAAGTTGTTTACATTCTCTGAACAAGTAACAAAGATACAATCAACAAAAAATCCCCCTGTGGGTTTGCAATTTACCTTGATTTTGGGAAGGTTTTGCCTGGCTGGAAAGGTCCTCATTTTCTAAACAGAGAACAGCAGCTTGTTATTTGAAAGCAAATGAAATGCCAGCACTGAATGATCCATTCACAACAATGAATTAGAAATAAGTACCATCAGCATGTCTAACAGTATGCATGCTTTACCTGATACCACTTGATTAGCAGTGTATGGCGGAGGAGCTGGTAAGCCTGGAGCTATGACATTAGCCATTGGAACTAAGCCAGCATTGTTGTAAGCACCTAAAATAACAAATGCAATACACATCTCAGTCATCAGCAGAACCCCTATCTAAATGAACCAGTAAATGTCTTTTCCTTTAAAAGAACTTTTTCAAGATTGTAAGATTCCTTCACCAAAAAACCCAGACCAGTTAATCATCCAGGCTGGATACTGGCTTTTGCCAATGTCTGCCTGAATGACATGCACTGTGATCCGAATTTTAGCAAGGGTATTTCTCTCGAAAGAGCCTGAAAGTCAGGTTTCAATGGCTTTCAGTTCCATTTTGCCTGAAAAGCTTAAGGGGGAGGAGTGATTCAGAGTGTCTGCAGCATCATTTGTTCATTTCCCAACTTGAAGGCTGTTGCAACTCTTCCTTTAACATTAAAGCCTTGACAAACAAAAGAGCTAAACATACATCGGTGACCTGACCAGCCCACCAATACTAGTCATAAAATCCAGAGAACAATGTCCCATCTCAAATAATTAGTCTATCATTCTTCAATACTTCTTTAAATGTTAAGAAATTCAAGCGGGTTAGCAAATCATTTTAATATAAAATACTTATTGTACTTGACAGATCAAAAATTACCTTTTTTCCTCCCTTATTCTTTGGAACAACTCAAACTGTTGTATTGCTGTGGTATACAGTTCTGACAAAGAACATCAGAATTGAAATCACAGAAACAGAAATACACTTCACGGTGGTCCTGAATGAATATTTTAGGAGCACAAGAACTTACGCTTCACGGGAAAACGTAGTACTTCAACAATACTCAAAGTGCAGTAATTTGTCATACACAACTCCTTTCTGATTTCACACTTTCATAATAGCTCTACACCTAATGTTAAGGTTCCTTGCATGACAACTCTTGGCTGAAAATCAGAAAAGCAACTAACAATCATTGCGTCACCCAGGAACGAAATGTTAAACCAACACATATAAGAAGCAGAAAACAAAACATCATTCTGACCATTGCTTGAAAACAATCACCTTCAATCGTTTCAGGTCAGCACCTGCAACCTCATTAAACATATTTTTGTATATATAAATGTATCATCAGTTATGCAAGAGTTCTTTTAAAAAAATGTGCTGCACCCTAGTAAGGCCCTGAAACCTCAAAAGCTGTTTCATATACTAAATTGTACTAATACTTACATCCAGTCACAGGCCAAATTTTGTGCCCTAACTTACTTTGGATAGGATTTATGTAATATCAATTCAACCTAGTCTGTAAGTTTCCTGTACATTTTTTGGGCAGCAAGTTATTTCTAGGGCACAAATCATCAGAATTACTTTAGCCACTAGTAGTGCCAATTTTTCCAAACTGACTATCAAGAGACTTGCAGACATCGAGTTGGTTAGATGACTCGCCCTTCAACATGCATGCTAAGAGCTCAACCACACTTTCTTATCAAATGCCTTAAAAACTCCCTGAACTCCCTAACATCAGTGAAAAGCAACCTTCCTAACCAGAGCACTCCTTGTTTTGCAGTACAAAATGGCAAGATTAGGAAAAGCTTTCAGCTGCTGCTCAAAAAGACCAGAGTTTTGACTACGTAAGTATTTCAACAACTTCTTCCAAAGAAACAGCAATCGACTTTGCTCCTTTCCAAAAACGTCTGGAATCAAACTGAAGCAGCAGAGCAAAGAGAGAGGAGTTTATGAAGAAAGACTCAAGCTTACCTAAGGCACAAAGCTAGGAATAGTCAGATCAAACACAGGAAAAGGCTATCACTATGTCCCTTCTCAGACTGAAATCTACATTCCTAAACTTTTCTTTCAGGAACCTGTTTTCTCTCCATTGTGATGGAGAGAATGTAAAGCTGAAGCAACTGAGAAATAGATTACATCTTCAACAGAGAAACAGATTACCATCTTCCTTCAGCAAGTTCTTGCATATTTCCACCCAATTCAGGGCTGTGCCTGACTATATCCTAAGTTTGGTACAACAGCAACAAGTCTCCAGACTTGTCAAGTCAAAGCCCAAACCTTGGTCAAACATTACAACAAAGACACAGCCCTAGTCTTGGCTATAACATGCACAATGACTCCCATAATGAAACATTTTCTCATCAGAACAGGACTGTGAATTTTCCCTATGATGTGGTTGTTTGAAAAAGTAGTCAATATATTCCTCTCTTCATCAACTCTGCAGTCACAACAGAAAAAGCAGAAACCAGTACCCAGAGCATCCTTAGGGAGCACAACCCAACTTCAGATACGATCACGGTCAGAGAAACTGACACTTGACACATTACTCAAAAGGCAAATGGATGAAACAACAGCATCAAGCTAGAACACATAGAAGCCTTACTTGGTGCAATAGTTGCATGTGGCCGACATGGTGGGATGGGGTATGGAACTGGTTTGTGTGGGTTGTAGGTTGATGGAGCCTACATAAAAAAAACAAACAAACAAACAAGCAAACAGAAGAAGTAATAGTGAAAGCATTACCTAGTGTTCCTCAGACAAAAAGCTAACATTCAGATACTACTACAGAGAGCTGTTCTTCACTGGAAAAATATTTGATATAAAATTTCTTCATAATATCCATAGTGACTGCAAATATTTCACTCTTTCTGAAAAGAATGAAACAAACATCGCTAGTATACCTTTAGATTTTAATGCAATACTGAACGCAGGTGGGAAAGCGAACTCCTTCCTGCCTTGTAGTCTTCACACTCAGTAGTCTTAAAGATTTAGCACATTTAAAACTAACAATACTTATGAAGGTACCTGTTCCTTTAAAATAATACAGCTTAGTGGGAAACATCTCATGATAGAAATATTTGGATAATACTCCAAAGTAGTATCAGGTTCATGCGAAGTTTGTACCACACACTTAAAAATTTTGAAATACAGACTAGCCGTGTTGTTAAGAAACAAGAACCTCCTTCTGAGGCACTGCTGGAAATCAAGTTTCCAAGATGCAAGCATTTTTTATGTTTATGTGGGAAACCCTCAGAGACTGTAATAAAAAATTGCATATATTTGCATCTAAAACTTCCACTAGCTCACAAAGAACTACTAAAAATGCTTTTACTTTTCTCTTCTGCTACTGTAATTTACATTCTGCCTTCAAAGGCACACACATTATATCCACTAGAGAATCCTACCCCTCACAGATATAAACTAGAGCTTCTTTTCAAGTCAAATAAAAAAATACTCAGTCAAGTTTAGCTTTGTTTAAATTGCTGCTCTAAGTCTTCTTGTAACGTAACAGCATTCTATATCAAAAACTCATTGAATTGGGTGGTGGTTGGATTTTTTTTTTCTTAGTTTCATTTATTTATTCATTTATTAGACATACTGGTTTGGATGGTCCAAGTATACGGGCTGCTATTCCTTTTCCTTCATTAGTACATTCTTCTGTGTCCTTTTTGATAGGGGTTCCCTGAAACAAAAGAAAATTAAACTATTAAGTATTAATTTAAAGTAAAGCTTGCTATAGAATTTCTGCCATATTTGATTTTTTTTTCTAAACTACATTACAGTGTTTGAATATTGTGACAGTGATAGTTAACCGTGCTTGTGAGGAAAAAGAAACTGTGTTTTAGGTTTGTAAAATGATAAGTAAGAGCATTCCAATAGCTTGGTTTATAACACTGAGCTTTTGTAAAGAGATGGATATTAAACAGCCCATGTTTCTGATGTAATTAGAATTCTGCATTTGACTTGTAGACATGATAACTTACAGTTTGCAGTCCCTTAAGTGTTCACACTTAACATGGTTGTTCAAGAACTACACTAAGATTAGTACTGTAGTGACCATATTAGGTCATCTTATCAGCCCACCAGTAAGGCTGTTCGCACCTTTCCTGATTCTGCCAAATATTGCTGGCGTTTACAATGTTTTCCTTATATGAAAAACGTCTTATTTATGCAGTAATCTTTACTTGAAGCAGCACAGAAAGAATGAGCAAATAAAAATAATGCAAGTTCCCTATAAATGTGGAAAGGCATAACACAAAAAGCAGCCCACATTGCTTTTGATTCCACTCCTCCTTCCAAGTATATGAATCCTGGTTTTGGTTATACTACAATGAATCCTAAATCAAGGATGCTGTGAAAAGCAAAAGCATAGGATCATGCTTACTGGGAAAATTCCATTTATGCGGCTCGGTTTGCCCTTGGGATAAGGGTTGCCAGGAATCATGCCACAGGACGATATCATAGCATGAGGAGCCTTACAACCTGTTTTTGAAGCCTGCAAAATAATCAAGAAAGGACATTACTTGCTATCAAACTCAATGCTTTAAAGAAATGAATTACTATTCCATTACATTTAGACTGCATGAATCAACCTACATGGAACAATTCAAAGCTTTGTCTCAAATCTTTTTCTCAAATAGTCCAAACAATGTGAGGTTCTGCCAAAGTCCCCTTTGTTTTGAATAACTCTAGTTGGACCACCTCTGCTTCTACTGAACTTGGGGTTAAGCACTTGGGTGTTCTCTAAAACAAACACAGACTGTTTCTTTCAGCATTGGTTGCAATTCTGTGCCCCTTTTTCCATATGATCCTAATGCCTGACAGAAACTTCCCCCTTTATTTGCACATGTATTACACAGGTCTTCTCTTTTTGCAGCTGCTTCTTTCAGCTTGTCTTCCACCAGTAGTTCCCAGCAGTCCCCATGGTAAGTCCTGACCCCACAATGACCACAGGGACAGAAACAATACTGTATTTGACAGAATCAAGGGTACTAGAGCATCTTGACTACCTGCTCAAGAATTCTTCTGCACCTTTTCTTCTCTGACATATTAATTCTGAACAGATCTTCAATAAGGCGATAATTCTGAGCATCAACAATGTTGCTATAAATAAAGACATTGACAGACGATTACTGCCACTCCATATGCTTATCAGAAATAATGCACTAACTGAAAAGTAATCAACATTTATGCAGCCAGTATCCAACAGTACATTAAAAAAGTTAGTTCAGATCATAATTTTACTACTATTATTAAAGAAAAGGGGAACCCCAGACTTAAATATGGACTTCATACCTGTAAGTAAACACAGTATTAAGAATTGAATATTAATACAGAACAATGGATAACAATGGCTAAACTTTATGGCAAAAACAACTATGTTGACAAAACAAATTTTGCACCACAACAGTCTATTAGAAAGCTTTAATTGCCACTAGCACACAATTCCCAGCACAGCAGAAAACCAGCAGCTACTCAGTTTGCCACTATTTCTTGCTGGCCTGGTAGAGAAACAAATTTTCACCTTATTTCATCTTGAAATTAAAAAGATGAAACTCCTGGCAATTTTCTGCAGGTTCTGCAGAGCCAGTGAAACCCCTCACATGGTTCCAAAAAGTAGCCTTCCTTCCTCCTTTCCCAAAAATAACACTAGACATACCAAAGAGAATAATAAAATGTGCAAGTACAAGGAGCCTAATGCCCAATTCTACCTGCTTTTTTCAAAACCCTGACCACAGCACTTCTGCTGCTGTCAAAATTACCTGCCCCATGCAAACAACACAGCAGGGCAATACAATACAGCACCAAAAAGGAGGACTTCTCCAAGGAGGATATTAGAAGAAATGGAATCAGCACAATGCTGAACAAAGACATCAAATACGCCTCAAAGAATGGTACTAAAATGTGAAAGAACTTCCAGCTTTGTTCTCTAGTTTTGATTAGCAAAGTAAGTAGTACACTGATTTGGGTTAGAATTTCTGTACCATGACTCCCTTTTTGTGCTCTTGCACTGTAGAAATTGAACAGCTAAGGAAGTTACCACACTTTCCCCCCACACCAGCTCAAGTGTAGCTACTAAAGAGCCTGTTTGCTCCAATCTCATTTCAAAAAGCAAAACAGGTTAGTTTAATGAGCCACTGAAATTAGAATCACAGAATCATAAGGTTGGAATAGACCTCTAAGATCATCAAGTCCAACCATCAACCCAACACCAGCATGCCCACTAAACCATGTCCTGAAGTGTCACATCTACACGTATTTTTAACACCTCCAGGGATGGTGACGCAATCACTTCTCTGGGCAGTCTGTTCCAATTCTTGACAACCCCTTCAGTAAATAAATTTTTCCTAATGTCCAATCTAAGACTTCCCTGGTGCAACTTGAGGCCATTTACTCTTGCCCCATCGCTTGTTACTTGGGTGAAGAGACCAACCCCCACCTCCCTACAACCTCCTCTCTGGTAGCTGTAGAAAGCGATAAGGTTTCCCCTCAGCCTCCCCCAGTTTAAACAACCCCAGTTCCCTCAGCTGCTCCCCATAAGACCTGTTCTCCAGACCCTTCACTAGCTTCATTGCCCTTCTCTGGACACGCTCCAGCACCTCAGTGTCTGTCTTGTAGTGAGGGGCCCAAAACTGCACACAGTATTTGAGGTGCGGCCTCACCAGTGCTGAGTACAGGGGCACGATCACCTCCCTACTCCTGCTGGCCACACTGTTTCTGAAACAAGCCAGGATGCTGTCGGCCTTCTTGGCCACCTGAGCACACTGCCGGCTCATGTTCAGCCGGCTGTCAACCAACACCCCCAGGTCCTTTTCCACCAGGCAGCTTTCCAGCCACTCATCCCCAAGCCTGTTGCATTGCATGGGGTTGTCGTGACCCAAGTGCAGGACCCGGCACTTGGCCTTGTTGAACCTCATACAATTGGCCTCGGTCCATTCATCCAGCCTGTCCAGACCTCTCTGCAGAGCCTTCCTGCCCTTGAGCAGATCAACACTCCCACCTAATTTAGTGTCATCTAGAAACTTACTGAGGGAGACCTGCTTGTGCAGGTGCCATGTACATATAAACATATATAAATGTTAGATCCTTTGAAGCAGCTCTGTTCAGTAGAACAACCCAACTTCCTATGTAGACATAAATTTAGAATATCTACATATCTTTTATAGACACTAGATCTGTAAATCAAATGTGTCAATTTAATAGAACTATTTAATGAACTCATTTTTACACATGTAATACTTAACAGGGTATTTTCAAATGCAAATGGGTCAATTCCCAGAATACTCTGGTCTCAACCCTTTTACATTTCAGTGAGCAGAAATAAGCTTAAGGCCCTCTTCATTCTCTACAAGATTTGAAGACCACTGTAAAAACACTGGCAATGTGGCAGTTTTCCAGCAGGCAGAAGCCCACAGGCAGTATGCTCAAGACTCAGACGAACTATGGAATTTTCCACAATGCCTGCTTCTAATTCTTTTTACAGACTCATCAATAAAGGATTTGTACTTCACCTTAAGTGGCCAGAGTGCTTCCTGCTAGAAGTATCTTAAGTTTTATATACTCCAAACACTAGTAAAAACAATACAAGTTAAGGAAATAGGACACGAGAGATACTTACGAAGCTAAGATTTCAAGGGCAATAAGTTTATCTTTACTGAATGTGAAGCAGTTGAGAATATTAACCATTTTTGATGCCGGAACTGCCACTATTTTCTGACAAGTAAGCGAGAAAGAAAAAAAGTGTACATAAAATAAGGCAGTACAACTCTTTTAAACTCAGAATGCAACTCAGTAACAGCTTCATATCATGTATTTCAGTAAATATTTAATATTCTCTCCCTCCCATTGGGAAGGAGACTTTATATACTAAATTCTGAACAAGCAACTCTAAAAGCACTTGCCAAAAGCAAAGAAATTAGGAAAGTTAACAGTAGTTACAAAGGGGTACATCTATTCTTGTGATACACAGGAAGGTAAAGATACTTTAGTCAGAAAAGATACCCTGGTTAAGAGTATGAAGTTTCACATTTTGATACCATTGCAAAAGAAAAAGAGGAAACTTTGAAGATTAAAGGGCAGACTGAACCATCAGTTGCAAAAGTACCCATCACAAAACTACAATGACACTAAGAGGGCAAACTTATTCCACAAGATTACGTCACAAGAACTTACATGTTGTAAAGCCTTTATTGCCTTGAGCTGTGGTTCAGCCCAGGAAAAGTATCTCAGTAACTCAACGACCTGCAACAGAAAGGCCTTCAATTAATCTCTTATATGTATTAAGAAATTACGCTAACAGCATCGATATCATCTTTCCATTTTTGGAGTATAGTGGTATACTGCTAAAAAGGACGTGTCTGTCTGATGTTTGATTACATCAGCGCCTACCAGCATCTAATGTTCTTCCTTATTCTTAAGTAGGCACCTACAAATTCTGTGTTACGAGATGAAGTTTTTCTATGGAAATATTTAAAATACATACTTACTCCTCTCTATTTATTTGCGTATATGCACAACAATTGCCACAGTAGTAGAAAAAAATAAATCTTTCTGAAAAACCTTATAAGCATTAAGTATCTCAAACAGCATATTCACCAAACATGTACACACAGAAGAAAAAGAAACAGGACAAAAAATCTACATAGTAACAAAATAAGATGGATGCTTATTCCTACATGCCAGTTTAGAAAATATATGCAAAACAATCCTAAATTCCATGATCATAAATTTCGCCAATTTTCCCCCAGACAAGAACAAAAACATACTGATTTTGTAACAACTTGGAACTATTTTTAACAGTTTAATGCTGATATAATAATGAGGAAATAAATCGCCTGTTAATAAATAAAAAAGGAATTATGATCAGCCTCAGCATGACTGCAGACACTGTCTTTCTGTTATTACTGAATACACAAAACCAGTAGCTCCCATTAAACCCATGGCAGTGTTGACTTTTACCTGTTCACTAGAAAAGTATCCATGAACATATTCAATAGCTTTTAATTTGTACTCAGTCAATACAGCCTAGAAGACGGAGAAAAAAAAAGAGACGCGTAATTAGTCCCTCAAAAAATATAACTAGAGCACAACCATCTGCTAAACTAATAATCTAAAAAAATGACCTTACAAAGTGACACTTGCTTCATTACACTGCAGGATTTCTAAGTAACACTATACTCCTTAGATAATTGAAAGAACAATGAAAAACAGAGATGTAATTTAATTCTTCTGTTTAAAAAACCCTACTATTTTTTGAATTATTTCATTTTGCCTTTTTTTTTTTTTCTTTAAAACCGTACTGAGAGAACATCATCATCACTCTTCCTTTTGCCTCAAAGGTTTACATCAACTTTATGTTAAACAAGATAATACAGTTGATTATTCATACAATCTCTTTGTATGTTCCCTGTACAATAATTAACAAAGCATCTTACTTCAGTGACTTTACAAAGAGACTGGATAACAAGTTGGTACAGACAGAATTAAGTATACAAGAAGGCTTGCTCCAGAGGTTGCTGTGGTCTTAACATTCCTTCCCATAGTTCAAACTTTAATATGCAAACATACAAAGCAAAGGAAAAAGCAGAGTAGTTTAATGCAGTACTGGCCACCCCTTTTGACTTAGTGGCAAGACGGTTTTGTTGATAACCACCTGGCCTAACAGCCAGGGCTCCCTCCCTCTCCTCACGGCCAGCTCACTGATACAAGTACAAGATGTAAAGACAGGCAATAGCTGAATTCCTGCCCCAAACTGGTGCAAACACTTTTCTTCCCCAGTTTCCAAGGCCCCCATCTATTGCTAGTCTCATGCTTATTCTCAAATCACCTCCAGCTTCACCCACACACCCATTTCTACCTTCTTCCCAACAGCCCTAAAACATACCCCTATTCCTTGGGGTTTTTTGTCCTTGCCCCTCCACAGACAGACATGAAGTTCTCCATCACTGCACCCTGACTGTGAGTAGCACAGAGGTGCACAGAAACCCACGTCAACACTGTCTGAGGCAAACCTATCCTTTATGTCCCTCATTAAGAGACCAGCACTACCAAACACGCTGAAGTCACAGGGGGAAAATAACTTCTCTCTTTATGCTCATTTTTTCTTCTCTCCGTTCCTTCTCTTCAAATATTTTGGAAAAAAAGCCTGGTACATCATATAGCAACTTCTTCACCAAAACAAATGTCACTCTTCCTCCTTAAATCGACAGCTGAATGACTTTATACTAAAAACACAAACAGAAAGCATTGCTATGTCTGTTTATGAAAACAACCCCCCAAACTTTATTTTGTTTATAACCATAGATATATATGGGGAAAGACAGAACTAAGCTACACATTATGGCATTTAAATAATTGTTCCTGCTAATTGTAGGACTGAAAATGGAATGCAAACTCAACTGACTTGCGAATTGCATAATAAAGAAGGTTCTACCACAGAACTAGAAATGAAGTTTAAACAAAGACCTAGCAACAAAGACGCAAAATGAGCAACTGAAAAAGGAACGTTACACTGCAACAGCACAGCTATTATTAACACAGCACAGCACCGATCCTTAGATCAACAGTAAGTTAGGCTAACAGGAACACAGGCAGAGAGCATGCAGGAAACACAATTGCCCCAAATCACATGTCAACCCCCTTTTGTTTGAAGCCTTTTGTAATCACAGAGCGTATTCTGAAGGGCCGCACTGCAGTAGCAATATCTGAAACTACTCCCTCCCACAAGTAATTCTCAGAGAAAGTATGCGGGTGCAAGTTGTTCCTTGATTTTTTTCCCCCAGGTTTTCCATAAAAATTCTTAGGTTGGGAGGGAAGCCCACAACCTGAAATATCTTAGGCTGTCATGTTTTTAAGATGGTTCCACAGCATGGAACGTACCTGTTCTGTAAAGGAGAATTTATGGCCATGACCTTACGCAAAAACATTAGTAAGTGCAGTTGTGATAACAAAGACTCATCCCTGGGGCTTTCGTGCACAGTGGTTTATACCTCAATATGTTCCAAAATAATAATACTACAACAGCAGCCATCACTGCATCTCATGCTGGAGAAGCTGAACTGAAATTCAACTCTGTAGCACCCAAACCCAAATAAAGGAAATTACCTGTCCTAGATGACCCATCATAACAAAAAACACCTATTACAAAAATGCTAAGGATTCCTTTTCTGCCATAAGGCGATCTTATTCAAAACAAGCCCTTCATTTTCACACCAAGACAGCTTTAGCAGGATGCAGAACTGTTCTACCGTGATGCTTAAATCACCTCTGCTTAACTACTGCAAAATATAGCATCCCGAGTTCATACATCCCACATAAACCAGCAACTATTAATTTTAGAGGTTCTGATTTTTCTCTCTCTATTCTCCTTTTCCACTTCCAGCGTTTGCGGAACTGCTTCAATCACTAACCTCCAGCTTTCCCGTTAAAAGCAGGCCTCTGTGCAGAAAGAAACGAGACATTGCAGACACCAGGAAGCCTAGGTTTGTATCTCTGCTTCCCACTACTAGTAGGTATTTTGCCCAGCGAGCTTTTAAGAGTAGATGCTCAAGCACGACGGTTCCGAGTACACAACAAACCCCAGGATTCCACATCCTGGAGGAAGGCGTGCACACATTCCTGAGCTGCGGGAGATGGGGCTTTGAACAAGGACAGCTGCGGAGTGTAGCTCTGACACCAGCCTTCTCATGTCATATCTGTGTGTTCTATCTCCTAAACCATCACATAAAAGGCGGATACCCCACACCCTAAGTCCCAGTCTCCTGTCAGGCCAAGCAAACACAAACCCTCCCCCCAAATAACAGATACTTGGGTATTTCGGCTTCTCTTCTTCATCTTCCTTGACACTGAAAATGCTGTGACAAACTTATTCAAATGCTTATTTTAAATGAGGGCTCTTCAAGTATATGTTGTTAGCTCAGTGATAGCAGTCTGGGCATTCAACCTCAGTTTTCTGAGAAAATAAAAACACCTCAAAGACAGCAACCATGTCACAGCAGCTTTACACTGTTATATCTGACATACAAAACCCAGGATACACCGGCAACACAGGATTACAGTTCTTCACTACGAGGCGAAATTTAGTCTTTGTTGAATTCCGAAGTGATATTAAAGAACAGAAACGCCCAACCTGGTGTGTCCATCAAGAGGAACAGTCTACCATCAAATGGTTAAACTAACAAGAAAAACGATGTTACCTTTCTAATTTCATCCAGCACGGTTTCAAATGATTTCTTATCCATCTTTATTAGTTCATTCAATGCAGATAATTAAATATGAAGGGGAAAAAATTTTAAAAAAACCAGGCCAAAGGCTTTAAGGAAAAAAAAAAAATTAAAAAAAAAAAAAAAAAAAAAAAAAAGCAGGGCAAGAAAGGCAGCCTGGGATCTCCTCAGCTCCTGGAACTCAGCGCCGATGCCTTTGCAGGAGACAAAGGCGGACCCCGCCGGGTGCTGTTCGCCGCCCCGCAGGAGACCCGCGCCCGTCCCCGCACGCTCCGAGGCTGCTCTCGCCGACTGAGGAGGAGGAGAAGGGCGGGCACGGGGCAGAGAGGCCGGTCCGGCGGCAGCAGAAGCGGG